TATTTATTGTGCCTGTCATATCAGTCGTAAAGCAAAATTGCATGAAAACATTACTCATCACAACATTTCCCATGTTTCTCCACAATTATTCTTCTAAAATGTCCATTGTTCTTCTGGAGATCAAATGGAAGACACTGACAATGTGTGTCTCCATAGCTAATTAATTGAATGGCAATGGCCTTTAACAGAATTAAGGGTTAATTTCAAGATCACTTTAACCTTGTATGGACAAGAGAGGCTTTTGTTCTTCTTGCCACTAATCAAACCCTGCAGCTAAGAAAAAATAGCCACCAGTCTTACAAATTAATTTACAATCAGTGTGGACTTGCTTTTGTTTATATTATACTGTTGTACTCTATGACTTTTTTGTTCGATGTGTTAGTCTGTCTACAAGAAATCTATGTTTCTCATTGATTAGGTGCACCTATTTATTCTGGTAAGGTCAAAACTAAAAAGAAAACCACTTTTTTTTACCTTGTATGTGGTAAACTCTGACACAGCTATCCCCTATTCTAATAGTGCTCTATTCATTTGACGCCAGTAGCTATTAATTTTTGCAAAAGGCCTAAAATTACCTATTGACCCTTTTAATTACTATTTACCCAAGCATTAATTAAGAGAGAAGTCTACAAAAACAGTCTGCTCAGATTTTGGACACTTCATTAATGTGAAAAAATACAAATATTAATGGAAAAATTACTTTTCTTAAAATCTTAATCCAACAAAATGAAATGCCATTTAGTCATTATTTTGTTTGAGGTGAAATATAATACCTGAAAATCAAAACTAACCACAAATGCTACTTACTGCAGGAAAAAGCCTAAATGTCTATCATCACTTATCTGGTCACAGCCAGCTACATCTTCCCCTGCTGCCTCTCTCAGAGACACAGTGTTATGGAGTGATCACCCCTAACATATGAGTAAAAATTTGTACACAGAAGATAACTCTATTGGAAAAACTGCAATGAAACTCCTTTTGCCTTTCATATTTACTGACTGCATATATGATCAATAGTAACAAACCCGGCTAGGTTACAGAATGTCAACACATTCAAATCAGAGTAAATGCAATTGTGTGGGCACACTGCAAGGCACGACCCTATGAAATTGTGCGTAATACCATACTGCAGAGAGTGAATGCAGTTGGATAGTAAAAGAAGCACGCCGCAGACACTATTCACTGGCCAAAACAACCACCAATTCAACTTATAGCGGCACCAAGTCGGCCTCAGAATAAACACACAATTACAGCAGATATTGAGACAACACTATCTTACAATGACAAAAATTTGACCCCATGTTTTACAGAAATAAAATTTGTGATAGGATAATTTTCACCCTTAAAGTCCTTGTACATCTGAAAAGCATTTGAGGGAAAAGTCTGAAAACCACACCATGAAACATAAAACAAGGAATTCATCAAAGTGAAGCCTTAACCAATAACAGAGCTTCTATAATGAAATTCTTTGAAAGCTCTGGAAGATATCTTTCCATTTGTCTAACAGTATCTATCACATGCCAACGAGCACAGACATCCAGTAGCAGCAACTATACCCTTACCAATTTAGAAATCAATGAAAGAATTAACTTTGAATAAAAGCAGCAGTTTTCATGTCAGATGCCACAACATTATATACTAGGGCCTGCGCGCAGCTCATTTCATCAATGTCCCATGAATATCTTTTAAAGAAATTTCTTCCTTCACACACTCAGATTATTGCAGCTAGGATGTTTTCAAACAAGCGCAAAAAAACTCTTCAGTGCCAATCAGGAAAGATTATTTTGACTTAATTCAGCAATATCCGAACTCTCAATGTCCTGACACCACATTCATTAGGGAATTGAAAAGTCACTACCTTGGTGGCATTGCCAAAACATTTTAGTTCTATTATTCGAATTCCTTCTGTGAAATCAAAGCAAACTTTCTTTACTATTATATGTTTGTGTTTGACATCGATCTCTAGTCCCAGCGGTTGATTTTTTTCTTTCAGAGCATGGTCTTTTCTTGCCAATCATACTCCCTTTTGTTTGCCTGTATTTTTCTTTCCCTTTGATGTATTTTTCCTTTCAGGATTTCTACAAAAGCTTTCAAGTTAAGTGTGAGGTATTATGAAATGTTGCCTGAACTTAGCATTATTTGTTTGCCATGGAATATCCTAAAACAAGCAAACTTCCAATATCACAAAGAAAACAATCTGGATGGACATTACAATATCAGTCATGCCCTTGGCATTAAAACATTCTTGCACACTTGACATGGTTGGTAAACAGCCTTTCTTCTTCATATAAATAATATATATAATGCACATATTTCCTAAATGAAATATTCATTATAGTTATCTTACAACAAACACAAAATCTGAATTTCATCCCATCAATCCTCATTTAAAAAAAATGATTATTTAAATCTGAGGACGGCACTTTTGAAAGCTTAGCATCATATCCAGATAATTATCTCACTAAGGATTCCCACAAAAGAAAAAAACTTTCTTACCTCCAAAATCTTATAGTCACCAAATGGACAAAGAAAGTTGCAGTGAAGCGCTTTAAAGCTGACACACTACATGGACACTTAAAATTTCAGCAATTCAATTTGTGTGAAATTCAAATAAATGAATTCATTCTACTTCAATCAATAGTCCAAAAAGTCCATTTTTCCACTTGGTGATGCGAGTCTTCATGTCTACTGGAGCTGTTAAGGCCTGAGAACTGTTCTGTTTGTATATCTGGTATCACCGTCACTATTTACGTCACTCTGTGCAACATTACTCTCACATTCTTTCGTATCATATATAAAACCAGTGATCTGTATCATGTTGCCTAATTTGTTTCCACTTTGTTATAATAATTCCCTTCTTATATCTTTTCCAATTGAAATTCCACACCATGACCAGTGATACCACCAATGCCTTACCCTGTTGTCAATGCCAGTGCACTGGTTAAATTAAATTTACAATTAAGGAAAAAAATTACCTCTTAATAATCAATGAATGAAGTTTTGTATTCCAAAATGCCTGTGATTGGCCACATTCGTTTTTGATCCGATCCCAACACTGCTTGGTATGACCAATGTCAAATTTGAAGACCTCAATTCTCACGCACTGCTTAGTTCATTCATTAGTGTACTTTTATCACACATAAGGTTATCGAAGGTTACACTCAATTCACACCTTCATTCATGCTGGAGCGTTAAACAATTCAGTTTAGTAATAGTGTCCAATGTAAGACTATTCCAAACATAGAAATGATAGCATCTTGGAAACCACTTCACATTCTTGATAAGTTCCTGCTTTTTATAACAAGTGCACCCTGCGACTCCTAGCCACACATCTCCTCTGGAAATAGTTTTCTTTCATACCTACAATTACCTAATAACAAGCTTACTTCACACTGGCCACAGGGATTGGAAGCAATCACAGAATAAACCCTACTAAAATGTCATTTTATCAAAATCAAACAAAAAGGAGACCTCAATACAAACTAGTCAAGCCTCTTGTACATAAAAGTCAACATAAACACATACATTTTAACTCCTATTTTTCTTCGACAAAATAAGCAGCTAAAATTTCACTTCTGTAGATTTACCTATTTGGTGTGTTATTTTCCTGCAATTGAACATTCAAAGTCATGTAGTCCACATAGCCGAGGGACAAGGATCAGATAACGTTTCCGTTGTTTTGTGGGTACACAATGGTAAGTGACCAATGCAACAGAGGACAGAATGCGTTTCAAGTTCAATATAACCTTTACCTGCAAATTAGTCCTAGGTGCAAATTAAATTTTGTTCCAATGCTAAGGTGCGGTACTCACTCATTTATCCACACAATGGCTGTCCTAAAAGACCTGTCTTATCACCATCACAACAATAAAAATCCTAAAGAAGTGGAACTCCTGTGTTGTGTCATACTAGTAAAACGCATCCCATCCTTATTCCTTAGCACTGATGGACTACAAGATGTACTGTTCAACCTTTAAAAAGAGTACTCTCCTGTCTATGAGCAGTCAGCACCTGCATCATCCTTCCCAGTGAAGATCTGCTTGCTACAGAAATCTGACAATGCCAGCAAGCCAGCCTAATCCTGACAAATTGACAAAGGGCCACATTAATTCCTAATACGTCAAGCTTACCGTAATGGCTACCTACCTACATAAATGAGGTTCAGTCTTTTAAAAAAAGTCTGCAAAAATGGAAAAAATGGTTGCTGTAAATCCTTTACATTTGGCGCCTAGAGTTTTCGATCCTGCTTGTTACTTCACTTGAATTTATGATTAGAAATTGATTGTTTCCCATGTCATTAATAAATAAGATTGGTACACAATATAGAAAAGTTTGGAGACCATGGATCCATGGAATGCTTTAAATGGTAGTGCAAATGCAATCCAATTTATCTCTCTGCATGTCAATACTCAAACTCAGAAAAGCAATGTTTTTAAGTGATACGGTGTGATACATAGTGATGCCCTCATTCTTCACGTATCCTGGTCAATTACATTCATTAGAACACCTTTTATGATTGCTAGAATTTCAAATTAAACATTCAATTTCCCTCAAGTGAACAAGGTATTGTTGTTGTAATGCACCATTTCCTGAAAATGGTTATTACACAATAGGAAAAAAAGAGCTCAATCTGCAACTAATATTTTTTTTCTGTCAAGAAAAGCACAAAAAAATTATCAAAATATTATGCTCATCAAAAAGTTTCTAGGTACAATGAATCAATGGAATTGCTTCAGTTCTAGTTCAGAGTGTTAAAATAACAGTTTACAACAACACCAGAGCATTTGTATCACAAAAAAAAGAGGAAGATTGAGCATGAGTTAATATTCTTTAACAACTTAGATACTAGTAAACTTTTAATAAATAAACCTGTGTATAAAATACATCTATTATAACATCTATTCTCTAAACCAAATCAATGTTTCTACCACACTTACTGTAAAATTTTTACATAAGCACTTCATGAAATGAAATGAAACTTATTAAAGATTATTTTATACCTGTGATGACCGCTTGGAGTTCCTGAAGAAGGCAACCTTAACACTGTGGGTACCTTGGCAGTTCTAGCCACAGGGGCAGGGGCCGAGGCAGAGGTGGAACTGCCACCTGGAGCTGACGAGGCAGCATCTTGGGACTGAGCACGCTCAAATGACTGCACCATGCTGACCACTTCTTGCTTCAGTTGTCCCACATGGGTCTCGCACACCTGACACCGGTCGCTGACCAGGGCGCGTCTGCAGTTGTCAGGGATAAACAGTCGATCTTGGATACGCCCAACTAAATCTGGGTCCTAAAAAAAGAATGTAAAGATTTAATTTGGTCTCAGTCCCAAAAAAAAGTATAAACCAATAATTAATTCCAGTTTCTAGAAAACAGCAAATACCAATAACTAAGTCAGGGTCCTGGAACACAAAGATAATACTAATAAGCAGTGAGAGATGAAACAAACTTCTTCCTTTCAGTGTGCCTGAATGCTAAAAAATAAAACAAAATGTACTTCATTACAAATGAAAACCTATAAAATATAAAATTTATAACAAAAATACAAATATCAGAGATATAAGAAGAATACTTGGTCAAAACACAGTGGCCAAAACCAAATTTAGCGTGTGAACTCAACTGTCCATTTGGTTTTTGACAATGTTGTGCTATTAAGTTAAAACAGTATATTTCTCTCTACTGAGACCGGAAGAAAGAGTACTGAAAACCCTTCAAAAGATCAAGAGGTAACCCATGCAGACAGCGAGAACATCCTAACACACCACACCTGTTCATGAACGTGTGCATTTCTACATCTTCCATGGTGTTCAACAAATGAGAAATGATAAGTTAAGGGAATGGAGTGTAACTATGGGGCCTCACTCTAGCAAAGAGTCTAAATGAAAAGTAGAAGCCTACTGATGAGAAGTCAACATGGCCTGCAGCGCAGCGCAAACGTCTCAAAACTACCTTTTCAACTATCTTGTGGCCAAAGGAGGATGATCATGTATCTAGCTGAGAATGCGAAAAATTTCATTCCACAAACCAAGCATGTTGTACACATATTTTGAGGTTGAGACAAAGTGAATAGAGGTTTTATGAGTTCTTTTTTTACAGTGAGAGAAATCCCTTTCATGATCGCATATTCTGATCCGTTTGGATTTCACACAACTTTGAACAGGCCCAGTAATAGCATTGAAAAGAACTGTGGCATGATTTACTACTTGTTCTGACTCTATTCTCACTTGGTAATACTACACCCTCAAAGACCAAAATGATTTCACTTTCCTTTCATGTCTTGGCTTATTCATGATAGAAACTATCCCTTTAGATCTGTGAACCATTATACAAGCATTTCCCCAAGTTTTGATGAATTACTGGCAAACAATTTTCCTGATCTTACAAAAATATCCTTCAAAATACCATATTGCAATTTCTTGATTTCCTCAATTGGGCAGAGGGTCAAATTGCTTTTGTATGTGCTCAGTTGTATAGAACAAGTGCTTTGGCTAAGTGCTTGTAACAATTTTAGCTGTTTATAAATATAATGTATGAATGTACATAAAAAAGCGTGCATGCAGACATGCACTTAGCAAACTCAAGTTAGTGATAGGCACAATGCAACCATCTAAACACAATGTTGTTCAGATTTTTCACATCTTTATGAGATGATGCTCTAATTGCACCCAAATCTCAACCAAAGCAATTGCAAGAGACAGGCTGCCCCATCAAATACCTGCCCATCTGTCCAGTTATCAGTCTGAATTAGAAAAACAGAGTTATGAAGAATCAGCACCTCATTTAATGACTGCCTGACATTTAATTCAATCTATGGATAACTGATGAAAACATCTGATCCATAAAGTAGCAGGAGATGACCAAAGCCAATGGTGTAAATTGGGAACTAGTCAGTGCAGACCACAACCCCAAACCAAAGGTATTTATCTGTATGATGATATGACAAGCTAAATGGCAAAGGTAAAAAGTGTGCATCAAACTACCACTATCACACCGGTGCCCACTTATTTCACTTAATAAAGTTTGATCTAGCATGACCACAGTTATTTCTCCACAATGAGATTATTTTACCAACTGCACCTAGAAATTTTTATATCTGAGAAAACCAGAAAATCATATTTTTCCAAGAGTAGTAATTTTAGACATAATTTTGTCACAATCCTAGAGATATAGAATTTATTTTATCAAATCAGATCTAGCCCAATGGGTAGATTGTCTTTCATGGTCATTTCTGAACCATGCTTAGAAATTGCAACTTCTGGGAGAACGAGAGAAGCATAAAATAGAAGCAGTTTGAGTTATCCAAGTGCATGATGATTTTGAGCAGCAGAGTAGAAAACTTGCTGATCTGTACACTGCTGATCAAAGCCTAACACTCCACACTGACATTTCAAACTGAGTTCTGTCATTTCAGCTATGCTCAGACTACCTCAGACCCTTCCAATATCCTTCTTTTTTCCCATTCCAATAAATTGAATGCCCTATCTATAAAAAGTATTTGGCTGGGTTTTTTTATCATTCAGACTGGTATTTCTAAAATAAGCACTTTGCTGTTTTCATCCACATTTTCAGACAATGCCATGCTTAATGGGGTGATAAAAACACATTTTCATTCTATTCAAGTCCACTCACATTCCAGTAGCAAGCACTTAATCCTTAATTTTCTGTTGATGACTACAAAATATATTGAAAGTGACCAAACACATCTTTTGGCTTCAATTCTACAAATTAAAAGACAATCTCATTTGATAGAAATCCATGAGGCCCATACATCACCCTGTGTACTAAAACTAACAGACTGTTGAACATGAAGCATCCAAGAGTCTCCAGAGAATTTAAAATGTTATTTCTCTTTCAAACTTATGCCTTATGGACAGGGGCAGAAATGCCATGTAAAGCACTACCAATGAACCAATAAAACCACTACTGAACCACTTAACTTTAATGGTGACAAACAGCAATCTTAGATTACATTGGAACATAAAAAATACCACTGCTGCCTTTTCAAGGTGATTTTGTTTCTTTACTATTTTCTCTAATGTGGAGTTTTCTATTTCTAAATTGTTTTCAATATAGCCTAAGATTCATCTAATGCATATCTCTTGACCTTTAAAAAATAGTCAAATGTGGACAAAAACATGAAGGAAAATGATGGGGGAATCCTATAAAGGCAAACAGGAAAACAAGAAAAGTGTGTAGCTAAAATACAGAAATGGAAAATGAGAATCTTATCCCACCAGTCTTTTCCTTAGGGCTAACACAAGAGCATTTCTGTCAACAGGGGTTAACCAAGGCCTGGTAGCAGGACAGTACAGACACACACTAAGAAAGCAATCCCATTATTTTTCTATTTTGATAAAGCCTCTAGTGGCACCCTGTATGAAAATGCAGTTTGACATGTGCTGAAAACACTCCAAGCTATCAGTTAATTTGTATGTCATCTAGATATCCTCCCCAATGTATCATGCTCTCCCTATTTCGAAATAATGAAAAAATGGGAGCAGTCCTGAAAGAATATCATATCCATAAAACTTACCAGATATATCTTTTATTCATCTATTTTTCCTTTGAAATATGGCAAATTAAGATCTACAGATTGACTGCTTAATGTGCGTCCTATCCCCATGTATGTTCTGGCTAAATTGAAACCTAATCTCTTGCCAAATTTTCTGACTATCATTCATCTATCTAATGTAAATTGAAAGCTACTGTGAGGTAACCTCAAAGACAATGGGTAAACTGAAAACACAATTTCTCTTTGCAGCTGCACTCAAAAAATATATTTTTCTTGGACAGGGATGTACAAAAAAACTTGCAGAAAGTTTAATCTAAAACATTTCCAAATTGTTCAGAAGCACTCCTCTCTTTTATAACACACTTTGACTATTTTTAAACTGCTACGCATCAAGCATAAGCTACATTCCAAGTGGTACTGAATTAGGTGCTGGATGATATGAAACAAGTTGTAATACAGGTAATAACATCATGTCTTAACTTGTTGACTGTGTTACTTCAAGTTGTGACTCGTATGATAAAATTGGCATGATTGCGCTTTTCTAAGGTTCAAAGCTGACTCAAGCTACCCTAAATAAATACACCTTTATCCCTGCTAATAACCCCTTCAGGGGCAGATTTGTGAGAGAATTATGAATCCTTATGCTAAAGAACAAAGAGCACATTATTGCAAAGTTTATGGTAATATTTAGATAATTAACATATTAGAGATAAAATATTCACATAAACACAAAGGTGATTGGCAATATATACAGTCCATGGATTAGAAATAGGTGCTAAACAGTACATATCCAATCAATCTGACACTTGTGATAACACAACAGGTTTTAGCTTATCTTCCTTATTTTCTTAGGGGTTTATGCATTCTCTTACCTTCTTTCATTCCACAACCACCCCTACTTTATCTATTTTTCCAAATGAAACAGCAACTAAACCTGAACCCTTACCTTTGTACAAAAAGATGTCTGTGGGACATATATCAGTACTGTTAAAGCATTGCTAAATTCGACCTAGCTTTAGTATGGCCCTCTCTCTGGTACTTTATTGCTTTGCCTTTTGGTCATTTGGTAAGAGGGTGTGCTGTTACGTTCCAGGGGGAGCATAAGTCAGTCTATCCTACACTAAGATTGCTCCAGACAGAGCAATAATTGCATCTTAAAATATTTCATTATTAAATGAAATTCTGTGTTATTACCCATATTAGTCCATACAATTAAAATAAAACAAAATTTCAACAACTACACACTCCATTATTCATTTGGCATCTTCCGATACTTCATCAAGAACTTAGCAGTCCAGATGTTTCAGATCAAGCCGAGGTTGTCTGACTATCAAGTATTTTGACTGCTGTGCTACTGATAGGTTTTTGAAGACCCCAAGGGAAAATAGAACTTTCAACAGTTGTCTTACAAGGTTGGTTCAACACCTTATTAGTTTGTGCCCAATGAGTGACATTTCAGCCACCACACACTGTGATATTCGCTGACACCCTACAGCACCTGTTTGTTTGTCTACCACATTTGGAAGTCAAATATTTCCTAAACATGCACCCTATGACTAACAAATATTTAAGTTTATGAATTTCAGCTTCTGGATCTGTTCATTCTCAAAAACATAGACATGTAATCTTTCTATGTGTAATCTTATTTATCCCATTTTTCATAACTGTCAATAATCATTCTTGGTAGACACGTTTTGCTGGATGCAAGAATTTAGATTAAGGATTTACATATGGTATGAATGAGTGAAAGAATCTCATTATGACATTATTTTTTAAAC